AATAAGCAAGACATGTGACCAAATCAGATAAAAATTTCGGAATGATCTATATTTTTTGATGAGTATAGGTGACGTGACCATAGTCACCCGCCAGTATAAATCATGAAACCTACCAAATCTACGGAAAGGACACGACTCAAAGTAGTACTACCCGGCGACACAGTTTCATTAGAAGTTACGACTCCAGGGATTACTCTTGGGCCAGGTTTAATACAAGCTGGTGAATTCATAACTTGCACAAAAGCAGGCGTTCTTGTATGCTCTGGATCCACTTATTGGATTGAGACTGATCAGAAAAGAGTAGTTTTCATTGCTTTTTATTTTCGTTATATTAATTATAAAGCTTTTATTTTTCCTGTACTAAATATTTTTGCCTTAATGATTGCTTAAGTATATTCCTGAGACTGGTGAACATGTAGTTGGCAGAATTTCTGGAAAAGGGGGTGAATTTTATCGAGTAGATGTTGGAAGCGCGCACCAAGCCATTTTACCATTCTTAGCATTCGAAAATGCCACAAAAAAAAATAGACCGAATTTCAATGTAGATACATATGAGCTTTTTTTTCAATTTTATATTTATGGCATATTTTAACTACGCGTTTTTTTTTCGGAAAAAAAATTATCTATTTATTGTATGGTTTAATAGATTGGTGATTTGATATATGCAAGAGTTTCTTTGGCAAATAAAGATATGGATCCGGAACTTCAATGCTTTAATCCTACGAATAATAAAGCTGAAGGGTTCGGCAAATTAGAGGGTGGAATGGTTTTGAAATGTTCATTAAGATATTGTCAAAGGTCTTTTTTTTTTTTTTTTGGTCAAAGTTATGTTTTACGAGTTTATTATTAATTTATTATATTTTGAACCTTTTGTTGTTGTTGATTATTATTCGCTTAGATTGTTAACCCAAGAAACGGATATCTGCAAATTACTCGGTCAAAAACTTCAGTTTGAATTATCTATCGGGATGAACGGTCGTGTTTGGTTGTCTTCCGATACAATTAAACACATAAGTTTGGTATATAATGCTCTTAAGCAGGCGGAGACACTAAATAATAATGAATGTAAAACTCTGGTTAGTAAGTTAGTGGTTTAATGTTAACAAACGCGGCAGTTGCACATCAAGTTTTAGCCTCGAACAAAGCTTTATCATTAGTTTAATAGTATTTTCTAGAGAAATCAGTAAGGTAATGCTAGTACACGTCACTCTCGATATAACGGAGGCCATGGTTCTAGCCCTTTGCTCGTTATATCAAAAGCTCCGTAATATCAAAATCTCGCAATATATCGGATATTATAGTAAATTATAAAAATCTCCGTTATATCAAGAAAATAATTTTTTTAATTTCAATTCTGCCGATTTGAAGAATTGGATCTTTAAATTAGAGATTGTACCCGGCTAGACATTTTTATTATATGTCCATAATAAATTACCCGGATAACCGGGTAGAGATTTTCTTGACGGGCACAATCTCTAATTTAAATCTCTCACCTATATCTACTTTTTTTAATAGATTTGAGTTTTAAATACAAGTTCCAATTATTATATATTGGACTTTATATAACTATGTTCCAATAGAATTCCAATTTTATAAAGATCTAATTCCAAAAATTCGCGAAATGGTTTACTGATATTGGTAAGTGTTTGCACTAGTGAAAATAAAAAATTCGATGTACTATTTGAATGCTATTCGACATGCCATCCAATGTGCCATTTAACTTATCACATGACTTTGCGGACATAAGTATGTATGGTAGCTATTCCACAAAAAATTTTACCCCCTTGTGATTTTTAACCAATTGGGATGTTAAGGTTAGGGGTTAGGGTTATTTGGGTTGGTACACAGCAAAACCATGCTTTGAAAGTTTTTAACCAAAATTGAGATTTTTATTGAGTTATATTCCCAAGTGCATGATTTATTCATGGTAAAATTTTTATTGCACATTAACATATTAAGATTTAGCACAATATCGTGCACAGCTTTTGGTAACTATATTGCATCAAAATGATCAATCATTGATATCTCCTAATAAGAAATTTGTCTCAAAGCATGGTTTTGCTGTGTACCTACCCATTTAGATTAGGTTTAAGTCTTGTTAAGGAACCCTGCCAGGGGTCTAGACACTTTTGCAGTAATGTGACCAGGGACAATGATTTTCTGCATTTCATGAAATGCCGCATAATTATGAAATCAGTGGATAAACACAGAATGTGTCAAAATAGCATGGAATTGTTGCAGAAAGTAGAAATGTGGCATGGAAATATTACGGAATGTAAGGATTTATAGGTAAACAATCCCAAAATTATATAATCTGAAAAGTCCCAATGTAGAAAATAAACAAACCTAAAAAACAAGTGTGCTCAAGCTAAATTTTTGAATAATATCTGAATTTCTATAACAAATGCAGAATTTATAAATTTAATGTACAGATTAATACAGAATTCATAAATTTGAAGTGCAAAACTATGCAGAAATTTACTTTATCTTGAATGGAATTGACTATTTATCATCACAGAAAATTATCATCCCTGAACATGATGTAACATATAGAAAAATAACCAATTAGAATTCATGTAAATTTAAATTGTCCTAAATTAGTCTGACATTAAAACTAAATATGTGTGCAAGAAGAAAAAAGACAAAAAGACAAAAATACACTAACAAAAAGTGTCAGAAATGCAATTTTATATATAATATATAAAGCTAATAACTCTAACACAAACCCTAACATGAACCCAAACCCAAACCAGAGACCTATAAAAATTTGTATATAAATTAATCCAAATTAATGCAAATTTGATTGATAAAACAAATTAATACAAATTTATATGATTATAGTTCATGTGAATCTGTATAATGTATAATGCAAAATTTAATTAGATAATAGTAATTGTCAGCCAATCAAATTGTGCATAATATAATTTATCAAGCATTGCACGAATGCATGTAAAACCAGATTCAATTAAATCATACATTCTTTCCAAAAAAGTATTGTTAAAATAATTTAATTACTTTTTTTTTGTGGGTTAACATGTAAAAAAAAGTTTATAGTCAAAGGATAAAAGGAATTAATTATTCTAAAAGTAGGATATTCAGGAAAATGCTGAGATTATACATACATATATGATAGTTAAAATAATTTTTTTAATGTTAAACTAAAAAAAGAAAGTAATTAAAGGTTCACAGCCAAAGAATAGAAGAAATTAATTATTCTAAAAGTAGAATATTTAGAAAATGCTGAGATTATACATGTGAAATTTTTTTTAAAAAATAATCATTTTATTAAAAAATACATACATAACTTATCACTATTCTCAAATCAGTATGGTCATTGAAGTTCAAAACTTTTATAAATTTTGCATAATAATTAAAAATAATAATGTAAAATTCACAAATTTTACAAATTTTAATAGCCGTACTAGTCTAAAAATAGATTAAAATTTATTTACAGTTTAAGACAAAATAACTAATAAAAAGCCAAAAAAAAATTTTTTAATCTTTTAATATTACCTTTTTATAACTTACATGATACAAAAAAAAACTATTTCAGCTATTTCCCGGGCAAGAGAATTTCCCGATGATTTTTATGCAGAAAATAATCTTCTTATGTATCATTTTTGTAACCATAGTATTAACTTTAATAATGTTAGTTTTATTAAATCTCATCGTGATAGTGAAACACACCAAAGAGCTAAAAAAGGATACTTAAGTTCACAACGTACTAATAGGCAACAATCAATGAAAAGCTTAATACAAGCAAATGAACGTAAAAGTAATATCATTTATAATTTATTAAAAGCATAGATTAGTGCTAACATATCTATAAAGAAGTTAGATAAATTCCATGAATTTCTACAAACATATTGTAATGAAGGTGGAGCAATTCCATTTGCTGACACTTTAAGACACCAATACCTACCAAAAGTTTTTCAAACACAATATCAACAACTTAAGGATGAGTTTGCTAGAAAATGTGTTTTGATTATTATTGATAAACCATGGATATATGTTCAAGAAGTGTAGTAAATACCTTGTTTAGTTATCGTGGTATTACTAAGTTGATATCTGTAGATTTTTCTCTAGATCCAATAAATAATATTACAATAGGTCAACTTGTTATTCGTTTAATAACTGAGTAGGCAATTTCTTATACAGCACCAAAGCTTATAGTATCTGACTCAGTAGTATATATAAAAAAATGTGTTTGCAAAATTTTAATAAAAATCATGCCACAAATTAAACATAATGCATGTGGTGCTCATATTGTAAATTTGATAAGGTAAATTAAAGTTTTGCAATCAAGTTTAATAAATTTATAGTTAAATTATTAATAAATATTTATATTTAGTAATGCTTGGGTTTCATTAAGTAGCTTTATATTGTTAAGCAATTATTAGCTACAATTAAAAAATCATTCTCATATTCAAAAGCTCGAAAAAATCGATATATGTTTTATTTAAAACGGCATGAACTTACTGAAAATAATAAGCATATATCTGATGACAAAATTTTAACTCTTTGATTTATGCCTTTACCAAATACAACGAGATGGAATTCATGGCTTGAGTTTGCTTTTTATGTTTCAGATTATTTGGAATATATACATGGCTTTTATTTAGAAGAAAAACAATATGAAAAAAATAAGTCAGTTGAAGTGATTAATAATATATTTGAGAATGCAAATAATAATGGTTTAGTAGAAATTTATCTTATTTTTTTAAAATCATATGAATCTGAATTTATTAATCATCTTGATTTTTTTCAAAAAGAATCTAAACTAGTATTTCCATTAGTTGAAGGATGAATTGAACAATTAGAGCTTTTTTTAAATAATAATATTACAAGTACTAATTATAGAGAACCTGTTACTAATATTATTCAAAAGTTTAATACTGACCCTTCTGTTTTTAATGAGGTTTTTCAAATATCTTTTAAAAATGCAAAACAAAGTTTGATGATTATTTTTTATCTCATTCTTCATGCTTTCTTTTTAAAGCTTCCTGTATTTTTGATTCCTGTTTTCTTCAATTATTAATTAGTAATCGTAACATTTCAAAATATGTTAAACAAATTTCTGAATTAGCAAATCCTTCAGTTGCATTACTTCAAGAGTGGTCTTTATATTGTAACTTAGATTTAGTAACCAAATATTACAATAATTTGGAAAAAAATATCCCCAAATTTTCCTTTTTTAAGTTCAATTGCATTGGATTATATTTGGTTATCTATTTCTTTATGTAGTGCTGAATGTAGTTTTTCAGCATATAATAATATTTTGCAAGACAAACAATATAATTTAAGTGAAGAATCTTTAAAAATTCTCACTATTATGTATTTTAACAATAATAAATAATAAATTAAATATAATATATTTTTTATTGCAAATTAATACAAATCTAATTTTAATTACAAATTAATACAAATTTTTTTAATAATACAAATAAAGATTTTGTAAAACACAAAAAATTTTTACAGGTCTCTGACCCAAACCCTAAAACTAAAGCAAAAAATATACTATATCACATAATAGTTACATTACTGCAAAAGTGTCTAGACCTCTAATAGGGCTATATAAGAGAGTAAATTTATTGATTAATGTTTTTGTAGAAGATCTACAGGCATTGATATAAATAATATTTGTAGATTTTCTACAAAAAATAAATTTATCCCTAACATAACTTAAATCTAATCTAAAATTACCCAGCCTTGTTAGGGGTTTAGATACTTTTATAGTAACATGACTATTACATAGTGTGGTATATTTTTGCTTTAGTTTAAAGTTTGGGTTTGGTTTGTGTTAGGGTTCATATTAGGGTTATTAGCTTTATATATTATGTAAAATTGCATTTCTGACACTTTTTGTTAATATTTAAAGATTGATTTAAGTACTAGTTTTCAAGTATTTTTGTTTTTTTTCTTTTTTTTTTTTCTTGCACACATGTTTTGTTTTGATGTCAGACTGATTTGAAACAATTGAAATTTATGAATTCTGATTGGTCATTTTCTATGCACCATGTCACGTTATTGCAAAAGTGTCTAGAGTTAAGAGTAAAGGATATTATATGACGATCACTTGATTTTTTACTAGTAAATT